GTCATTGGAACATTTCACCTTTTTAATACTGTATTTGCTTTCCTTTTCCTTAAATATTGTCATTTTGAAAAACAAAACTTTTACATGATTTTACTTTAATCGCTGTGTGTTATTAATAACAGTTGGTCTTGGAATTGAGGAATTAAGTCAATTCTACTGATACTCAGGTGTCTACTATGTACAAGTTGTAATGACAAATAGAGAAAAGGATAAGTTCCTCACTACTTGTAGTACCTCTCCCTTTCTATAAGGTAACCAATCACATGCTTATAACATACACGTTATAGTATGATAAATAGCATGAAAGTACAAAGCAAAATGTTGTTAACATGTTTTAGAATTCTGGGAATAATTTTATGTTTTTTCAGTGTAAAAAAGAAGGTGCAATATGACGAAACAAATTCAACATTTAAAGAGCTGAAGTTCTTAACACCAGTGAGACGTTCTCGACGTCTTCAAGAAAAAACTTCTCAATTGCCAGATATGTTAAAAGACCATTATCCTTGTGTGTCTTCATTGGAACAGTTAACAGAGTTGGGAAGTGAAACTGATGCTTTTGTTTGCCGCCCTAATGTAGCACTGTGCCGGATGTACTCCGAGACTGAAACAACAGAAGAGAAATAAAGCTCTGATAAGGAATGGGGTTTTTATTATTCCTGGGGTGTTTTGTGTAGCTTTGTATTTCCCTAATATCTGGAGTTGACCAGTTACCTACAGATCCTAAGTATTCATGGCAGTGAGCTCCTTTACTAACATTCATTTTACAGCAGGAATTGTGCACAACCCAGACTGTTGTGCCTGTGTCCCTTGGACTGCCTCTGGGTCTTCACTGTCACTTTTCATCAGTGATAGTGAGTCTGTACCTGTGGTCTCTTGGCCTCTTTCTTTTGATTGTACCTGAGGCCACCAAGAAGGATAGTTAACTAAATACGCCATTTCTAAGAAAAGGTAACTTTGTGTAAGAAAGAAAAGGTGCCAAATTTAGTGGATATTCAAAACATTAATCTGAATTCCTTTTGTAACTTGACTATGTAAAATTTAAAAATTTTAACTTCCAAAGCTTTAACTTCCAAAGATTTGATAGTTTATAAAACTATTAGAATAGAGTTAGGGAAGGAATATAATATTTAATAAATATCATTCTAGTTGGTAACATTTCTAAAATAACCAATACTTACACTTGCTTTCTTCCCCATAATATGAAAACATCACTGTTATATTATGTCCCCTGAAACCTGATAGTTACATACAGTAAATAGTTTTCTTCTCCCCACTCAAATACCACCAATAATATTGTTTTATAAGGTCCCAAACTAATATTTAAATGGCATACTTCCTCTATCAACTCTACAGTTTCAAATAAGTGAATTTTTTTAAGTGTAAAAGATGAGTTTAGAAACTATGTAATATGAATGTGATTGAACATCACATACATAGTCTCATTTATGTTCATTTCATTTGTATAATATCTCTGTTCTATTTATTGTCTCATGTTCTAGAGAGTAGAATTTTTATTCTTTTTTAACTGTGTACCTAACACTATATAATAAAAATGTGTGTATAATGATGTCCCAGTGATGTTTATTTCAACAAATATTTTATGAAATGCAGTTGAACCACAGTGAATGAATTTGAGCTTCGCTTTTGAAATACATTGTAGTAAGATTTGACTTGGGGTTTTTGACACATGAATTAATAAGTATGTGCTTACTGGTGTATTTCCTTTTAAAAAATGATCATCAATCTACTTATCTAAAAAGTTACACAACTTTTTTCACTTTAACAGAAATAACTATGTTCTTTAGTTTTTTTCATACTTTGTATGATGAATAACCCAAAATATGTTGTTTTGAAATAAAGTTCAAGCTGTCATACACGCTCAGCTTTTTAATATCTATAACACATAATTCATTTGTCTATATAGCATAGTTGGAAATACCTCAGTGAAAGAGAACTCAAGATACTAACTTTTATGTTTGGACAAGTTTCTTAGGGTGGCTTCCCTTCCCTCCTTCCCCGCCCCTTAACTGAGGGAAAATCTGTCTCTAAATGCTCCCATTTATAACCAAAGGTCTAACTCCGTTTCAGATGCTTAAGAACAGCTATCATGTCTCTCTGACCTAGGTTTGTTCCAAGCTAAATATCTAAAGATGTGGTATTGTGCGTGAGTGTCAAATGGACCAGTGTTCCAAAATCTCAAGCTCCTCCCTTTCCTTAAAAGTTGTTGACCTTGGAGAAGTTACTTAGCTGACCCTCATCTTTCCGAAGAGTAAAATGGATATAATCCCTTCCTATAGTTATTTTCCATCATGTTATCTACCTGCCTCCCGGGCTGATTTGCCAGGAATGGCCACCTGACCCAAGCTGGACATGTCAGAGACCTTTCCACTGGAATTTGTAATCAAGACAGAGAAAGCCTTTTTTTATAGGTAGTTAGACCTGCAGTATGTAAATATGAGGCACTGGGTGACCATATGAGGGTTGGAGAACAAAGACCCCAATGGAACAATGAAATAGGTACCCAGGGAAAAGCAGAGACTCTTGCCTGGGGTTTTCTACAGACTATCAGTTGTATATTATCCAAACTATTGTGGTTAAATTGAAATACAGACAAAGCAAAAGTCTTAATCCAACCACTACCCTTCTTAGATGTAATATTAATGTGGTAACCTTCCAATTTTTTTCTGTATATTTAACATACATACACAAACCATCTTGATACACCTGTGTGTGTGTACAAATTTGCTTTGTTGGACATAAATACCACCATATTTCATATATGGTTCTGTAATGCTTTTTTTTCTAATTTACTAAATCTTGGCCTACTTTTCATTGATATAAATCAATGTAACACTATGACTGCATGGGAATTTAGCAAAAAATATATTTCAAAATAGTGGAGGAAAGAATGTCTGTGAGTCACTTGGCTGTCCATTTTGGGAAGAAGAAAGTCCCTGCCTCACACCACTTACAAAAATAAATTCCAGGCAGGATAAATAGATAAGTATTATTGGAAGGTAATGTAAAATACATTTTTATCCTTAGGACAGGGAGAGCCTTCTTAAGCAAGACCCATTTATAAGTAATCTTTAATATTGAAGGGCGTGATAGAGCCCACAGACTTTAGCAGCAGGTAGTAGCAACAGCACTAGGTCCACCTCAGTGGGTACAAGTGCAAGACATTCATGCAGAGGCCAGACCAATTGTGGCAGCTGAGATCTTCAAATTTTTGTAAGAAAAATGGATGGTGAGCTTAGAATTCTATGCTCAAGCTATCATTCAAGTTTAAAGGCAAAAATGACATTTTCAAACAAGGAAGGATTCGGTTTACTGCTCATGAATTTATCTGCTCATAATTTGTCTAACACTAAATGTGTTAGTCCAGTGAAATGAAAAGTAAATCTAAGATTTAAAAAGTGTTAGCCACAGGCCGGGTGCGGTGGCTCACGCCTGTAATCCTAGCACTCTGGGAGGCCGAGGCGGGTGGATCGCTCAAGGTCAGAAGTTCGAGACCAGCCTGAGCAAGAGCGAGACCCTGTCTCTACTAAAAATAGAAAGAAATTATTTGGACAACTAAAAATCCATATAGAAAAAAT